CACGTGCATGGGGACAGGCAGAAAAGCATGCCCATGCATGGATACAGGCAGAAAAGCATGCCCATGCATGGGGACAGGCAGAGATTAGGAAGTAGGTATGGTTCTGCCTCCAGGGTCTGACCTAGGCTTTTTTTTTTCTTTATCAAATTGTTCTTGACTTCAGAATAATCCTCAGAGGAGTCGCGACCCCTAACCACAGTTAAATGTATCACCTGTTACTCAGGGAACTGGCTTGCAGACCAGTAAAGATGAAGGAGAGCTGATGCAGTAGAGCGCTTGCCTGGCTTGTGCAAGGGCTTGAGCTCAAGCCCGGCACCCCAACAAAATCGTATTTATCACCTGGATTTATGAGTCTTTGTCAACATCTGGTGTCAAACCTCACAGAAGCCCACATAAGTAGCTAAGCTTGGCAAATACAGGTCTTTGCAGGAGTTGGGCAAGCTGTGGGAGTGAACAAAGCTGGATGCCCGAGAGACGGGGGTGGGGGTGGGGTGGGAGGGGAGCGTGTGCGCACGCAGAAGCAGCTCCTGTTCAGCCCTCCCCAACTGCTTTCCTGCAGAAATTTGAGTCAACATTGTCAGACTCACCCTCCCCTCTTCTTTTCCAAGAGAAGCCTTTTTTTTTTTTTTTTTTTTTTTTTTCTGTATGAAATCTGATTATTTAAGCATGAGCAACTCATCTGTCATTTTGTAACAATGTGCAGGCCAAAGCAAACATATTTGGGAAGATAGTCAGTTCTGAGGCTACTGTTGATTTTCTGTGATGAAAATTCTTTGATGTTCACAGGTGGTAAGAAAGTAAGAAATTCTGTTCAAGACAAACAAACAAAAAACCACCACAAAACCAGAAAACTACTTTGCAAATTCAACAACAAACATTTGCTGTTGTCTGGAAATGCACAGCAAGGGGACCACCCAGCGCAGCCTGGACCTCATCCTGAACCCAGGACCTTTCTTCTTGTCAGACACTTCTAGTGGTCATTTGATAGGAAAAATCCCAACTCACATTGGCCTACACTTGACTGCTTCCACACATCCCTGTACTGTATCCAACCTGGACCACCACCACTCTCTCTCCCTGGATTCTCATGGCAAAGCCACAGGCCCCAACTGTTTTTCCTTAGCTTTATTTTGGTTTTGCTGTGCTGGAGATGGAGCCCAGGGCCTCCAACACACTGAGCAGGTGCTCTGCCATTGAGCCCAAGGCCCCAGCCTGTTCTTAAAACCTCTTCTCCAAGGTCCTTGGCATCTCTGCCCTCTCCTTTCCAGCCTAGCCAGTCCTGCCCACTCAGACCTGCAAGATTGTATGGTAAGCAGTGTTTCCAGCTTTCTGAGTGCTTAGTGTTGCTCTAGCATAAAATATCCTTTCTGGTCAACCTGGTTGAGCTCATCCATTAAAATTCAGTTCTGGACTGGCCTCCTAAAGATCTGAGTCTCTTTAATTATGAACTCCTGGAGATTTTTCTTTAATAGACTTTAGTTATCAAAGAATTGCTTTGGGCCAGCTTCAGATAATGTGAGACTCTCCGAGCTCCTCACCCCACCCTCTACCCCCCCCCCTCGGCTAAGGGAAGGTAGTTACTTGAAGACTGAGACTGAGGTATCGAAGAGTGTGGGAAGAATACAAAGAAGATAGGAGCAGAGAGGAGGACTGGGATCAAGGTGTCCCATGAAAAGGTTTCCTTGGAGTCGCCATTATGAGAGGTCGGGCAGAAGGAAGGGGGACAATTTGGGAACGAGGAGCCTAAGTTTGGGTCTAGTTTCTACTACAAATCTGGGTGGTGGGCAAGTCATTTTCCCACACAGAAAGTCTGTTTTCCCCCACAGAAAATGAAGCTAGAAATTCCGTGCCTCGGGAGAATTGTGGTGAGAATGAAATGAAGCAATGGCTAAAGTGTGTAGAGAAAAGGCTTCTTTTTCCTTGCCCATGCCATGCTGCTCACAAGCCTTTACTGAACTTTCTAGTGAGAGACAATTGTGCCTTTGCTAGACTCTGTTTATTTATTCACTTCTCAATTGTCTCTTTCATGACTTGAGTGCTTTCAACCTCATAAAATTACTAGCAACCATTCAAAGCTCCCCCAAGGGACTATGAACTTCCAGGTTTGAAACTACCCAATTCATTGCCTCTCTTCCACCCATGGGGCCTAGCTCATAAGAAGCACCCAACAGACGTGAATGAGCCAAATAAAGGGTATGATGGTACTCCTGGGACCCAAGAGTGTGTATAAGTCTGATCTCTCAAGTTTCCCTCATGGGAGAGGGCAGTGTTGTGTAGTTAATGGTCAGTTTATGACAGATTCTGTAAGCATCTGTTGATGAGTAAGTGAATGTTGGCCTAGTGTGGGGGCTGGCTATGTGTATTCTGATCCCTGAGCTCCTTGTAAAGGGTTGGAGGCTTTTCTCCTTTAGTCCACTTATACCTCGTACCTCTGGAATCACACTTACTACTTTATTATTATTTTGCTCCCCTTACCAACTTCCCACCTGTTCAGAGCCTATGGTTGCCTCCTGTATAACTTCCCGGTTAGTTTTGTTCGTTTTTGTCAACTGACACAAACAAGGGTCATCAAGTTGTGTCAGTTGTGTCTAGTGTTGAAAGATCCAGCCTCACCCTGAGTTAAGCATAGCTAACGCCATTTTGTGAGACACCACTGTTTTGTAAAACTCTGAAGGCCAGATGAGAAACTGGAAAATTACTGAGAACACCCAGCTGTGTCACCCACTTGGGATATCTGT